GGGGGGGGAGGTTCTGAAGTATAAGTTATACTTGTGAGTCTGTAAGTGTGAGCCAGAGGAGCCCCGAGGCTCGCGTGAGACTCTCAACTTGAACTTAGCATCACAGCTTAGGTCAGGTAAATATTGCCTGTGGACGTGTACTCACCTAGTTGTGCTTGCAGGGGTTGAGCTCTGGCTCTTTGGGTCCGCCTCTCGACTGTCAATCAACTTTTTTTTTCTACACACACACACACACACACACACACACACACACAAGGAGACACAGGTGGAAGCTGAGTACCCACATGAGCCACAGAGACATTAGAAAGAACTTTTTCAGTGTCAGAGTAGTTAGTAAATGGAATGCATTAGGCAGTGATGTGGTGGAGGCTGACTCCATACACAGTTTCAAATGAAGATATGATAGAGCCCAATAGGCTCAGGAACCTGTACACCAGTTGATTGACGGTTGAGAGGCGGGACCAAAGAGCCAGAGCTCAACCCCTGCAAGCACAACTAGGTGAGTACATTCGAAGTAAAGCAAAAAAATTAACACAAACAAGCCCTGCTATGCCCCTCTTGCCCTCACTGCACCACTAATCAACAATTTACAACTGGGAAGAAAGTCAAAATGGAGTTGCATTGGTAAGTATAGGGGGGGGGGGCGCTGGTGACTTTCCACCTTCTACTTCAGGTCACGGAGGTCACCAGAGGTCACCTGAGGTCACAAGGGGGAGGGGGGGGGGTGTATGCACAGGAGGGAGGGTTCAGGAAACTTGGTGTGGGGGGGGGTAGTTAGTAGTGTGTGCTCACCTAGTTGTGCTGGCGGGGGTTGAGCTCTGCCTTTTCGGTCCGCCTCTCAATTGTCAATCAATCAACTGTTACAAACTACTTACACCCAGGAAGCAGTCCGTAGCAGCTGTCTAAATCCCATGTACCTATTACTGCTAGGTGAACAGGGACATCAGGGTTAAGGAAACTCTGCCTCATCTGTCTCCACCGGGTGCGGGGCTCGAACCCCGGTCCCTAGGTCCACGAGTCTAGTGTCCACCCTGCCACCCAGCCCCACACACCCCATGTGTGCGTACGTGTGCGTGTGTGCGCGCGCGGATAATTATGGTGATTCCGTTCAGTGGGGCTCTGGAAGGAGTGGGGGGGGGGGTAGGGGGGTTACCGCCGCCACCACAAACACAACCACATCACAACCTCAACACAACCAACACTACACTATAACAGTAATGTATAGGACCACTGGTGGTGCTCACTCCACCACAACAACCACCACACCCCCACCAATCTCTCACAAGTCAAGCCTGGCCTTGGGCCGGGCTTGGGGAGTAGAAGAACTCCCAGAACCCCATCAACCAGGTATCAAGCAGGTATCCACCACCACCACAACACCACCACACCACCACCACAACACCACCACCTTGACTCGTTCCTCTCAGTGTTTGCAGATGATGCAAAAATTATCAGGAGGATCAAGAGAGGAAGACAGTATGAGGCTACAAGATGACCTAGTCAAACTGAAGGAATGGTCCAACAAATGGCTACTACAGTTCAACCCGAGTAAGTGTAAGGTAATGAAATTAGGCGGTGGACACAGGAGGCCAGACACAAGATACCGAATGGGAGATGAAGTCCTTCATGAAAAGGACAGAGATAGATTATATCAGATTTGCTATCACGCCAAACCTGTCTCCTGAAGCCCCACATCAAAGGAATATCATCAGTGGCGTATGCAAGGCTGGCGAACATCAACCAAATTGACAAAGAGGAATTCCTGAAACCAGCAACTTTTCGAACAAGAGAACACAGTTTCGAACTAATGAAACAAAGGTGCCGAAAAAATATTAGAAAATTTTCTTTTACAGAGTGGTAGACGGTTGGAACAAGCTATGGTAGACGGTTGGAACAAGCTATGGTAGACGGTTGGAACAAGCTAAGTGAGAAGGTGGTGGAGGCCAAGACCGTCAGTAAAGAGGAAGGAGAGGCATAGGTGAAGGGAAGTATAGAAGTGGGAAATACAGTGAGAGGTATGAAAGCAGGCGGCGGGCTGTCTGCCTTGCTGACTGAAAGCGTTATACGACAAAGAGTACTGGGAAGACGGGACACCACGAGCGTAACTCTCATCCTGTAACTACACTTAGGTAGTCCTAGATCCTAGGTAATTACACATACACAGATCTACGATACGTGTGTATCGTAGATACACACACATCTACGATGACCTAGAAGAGGTCATCGTAGGATACTACAATAAATACAACAGTAAATTGACTCCTGTCAACAGGACAGCCATCCCTGATTGACAGCAGTTGACCTCTGTCAACAACGACGCTGTATGGCTGCGAGCTGCCAGCGTAAACAACCTGGCCGACCATGCCTAAGGGACGGAGCTACGGTACAACTACGGTACGCCCACGCCCACGCCGTCAGACACGCCCACGCCGTCAGCCCACGCCCACGCCGTCAGCAGTGGTCTAGCGTTTATTTCACGGCCAGAAAAGCGTGAAATGCAGTAATATAATTATTGTGAAGTGAGCAACAGTGTGCGGGTTGTCCCGTCAGCTGGCGACCACGAGTCAGGTGTGTGGCCCCCAGACCTGCTACACCAGTACTGAGTCAGGTGTGTGGCCCCCAGACCTGCTACACCAGTACTGAGTCAGGTGTGTGGCCCCAAGACCTGCTAAACCAGTACTGAGTCAGGTGTGTGGCCCCCAGACCTGCTACATCAGTACTGAGGCAGGTGTGTGGCCCCCAGACCTGCTACACCAGTACTGAGGCAGGTGTGTGGCCCCCAGACCTGCTACACCAGTACTGAGTCAGGTGTGTGGCCCCCAGACCTGCTACACCAGTACTGAGTCAGGTGTGTGGCCCCAGACCTGCTAAACCAATACTGAGTCAGGTGTGTGGCCCCCAGACCTGCTACATCAGTACTGAGGCAGGTGTGTGGCCCCCAGACCTGCTACACCAGTACTGAGGCAGGTGTGTGGCCCCCAGACCTGCTACACCAGTACTGAGTCAGGTGTGTGGCCCCCAGACCTGCTACATCAGTACTGAGTCAGGTGTGTGGCCCCCAGACCTGCTACACCAGTACTGAGTCAGGTGTGTGGCCCCCAGACCTGCTACACCAGTACTGAGGCAGGTGTGTGGCTCTATTGTCCACACCCGTCCCTCTGACACACCTGCTACACCAGCTGAGTCAGGTGTGTGGCTCCCAGACCTGCTACATCAGTACTGAGGCAGGTGTGTGGCTCTAGCCTCCACACCCGCCCCTCTCACACACCTGTTACACCAGTACTGAGTCAGGTGTGTGGCCCCCAGCGTCCACACTCGCCCCTCTCTCACACACCTGCTACACCAGTACCGAGTCAGGTGTGTGGCTCCAGCGTCCACACCCGCTACACCTGTTAAACCTTACCTGTAATTACATCTAAATATCTTAATACTCTTCCCCAACAATATATTACACCTTCAGATGTTATCACGTTAATTATTTAATAATTAAATTCAAGACAATTATAATAAAGTGTCTAATTCTTAATTAGAATCCATTAAAATGCGATACCAAGAAATGTGTTCTTTGTAATTATATTATTTGTCTAGAAAATAGCGAATGTAATCCTGATTACAGTATGTAATCCTGATTCACGAAGTCGGATACGCGAACGCGGCCGTTCAGAGAGGCACAGACCTCAGAGGCATACCTGGGGCCAGATTCATGAAGCAGTTACGCAAGTACTTACGAACCTCTACATCTTTTCTCAATCTTTGGCGGCTTTGGTTACATTTATTAAACAGTTTACAAGCACGAAAACTTGCCAATCAACTGTTGTTATTGTTATAAACAGCCTCCTGGTGCTTCCGAGCTCATTAACTGTTTAATAATTGTAAACAAAGCCGCCAAAGATTGAGAAAAGATGTACAGGTTCGTAAGTGCTTGCGTAACTGCTTCGTGAATTTGTCCCCTTTATAGGATTTCGGGATTTTTTCTTATTCTCCGAGCCCAACCTGAGGCCAGGGCTCGATTTGAGATAACTTGGTCCAACAGGTTGTTGCTTGCAGCTGCCCGCAGGGCCATATACAGCCTGCTTGGATTATCTTGAGATGATTTCGGGGCTTTAGTGTCCTAGGCCTACTGATTTTTACAGAGTTGTAAGTAGGATCCTACAATCCTAAAATTGTAAGTAGGATTGGGCAAATCGACGGAGTGAACGGCAGACAGGATTGGGACATGACTGGGCAGAGGAAAGGGAGCCGGTCGGCCGAGCTGACAGCACGCTGGACTTGTGATCCTGTGGTCCTGGGTTCGATCCCAGGCGCCGGCGAGAAACATTGGGCAGAGTTTCTTTCACCCTATGCCCCTGTTACCTAGCAGTAAAATAGGTACCTGGGAGTTAGTCAGCTGTCACGGACTGCTTCCTGGGGGTGGAGGCCTGGTCGATGACCGGGCCGCGGGGACACTATAAAGCCCCGAAATCATCTCAAGATAACCTCAAGAAGATAAGGAAGGATAGAAAAGGGCCGCATGCGGCAAGAATAGATGGGCTCCGTCAGTTCCCACGCCCCGCATGCGGCTCCCGCAGATGGCCGACAATTACCAGGGTGCGGCCAACACCCTTGTCCCAGCGGCATGGTGGGGGGGGGCTAGGCCTGGGGGGGGGGTTCATGGCGTCACCAGATCTCTCTCTCACGACCCTTGGCGCTAACGGGTACTTTAGTGAGAGAGAGAGAGAGAGAGAGAGAGAGAGAGAGAGAGAGAGAGAGAGAGAGAGAGAGAGAGAGAGAGAGAGAGAGAGAGAGAGAGAGAGAGAGAGAGAGAGAGAGAGAGAGAGAGAGAGAGAGACAGAGAGAGAGAGAGAGACAGAGAGAGAGTGAGAGAGCACAGTACACAAGACAACATCAGGAGCTACAGAGAACTTTATAAACCCAAACAGTAAACAAGCAAAGAAGCGGAAATGTATAAATAGAAGCAGGTGAGTGAGAGGGAAGAGGGGGAGAGAGGAAGAGGGGGAGAGGAAGAGGGAGAGAGTAAATGGAGCTAAAGCTGGTGAAATCAGAAGCCGTGTAGGAGGGAGGAGCGAGGATCAGGTAACAAGGTAGAGAAGATAGACTAACCAGACAGGAAGAAGAAGAGAGGTGGAGGAAGGAAGAAGAGAGGTGGAGGAAGGAAGAAGAGAGGTGGAGGAAGGAAGAAGAGAGGTGGAGGAAGGAAGACGAGAGGTGGAGGAAGGAAGAAGAGAGGTGGAGGAAGGAAGAAGAGAGGTGTAGGAAGGAAGAAGAGAGGTGGAGGAAGGAAGAAGAGAGGTGGAGGAAGGAAGAAGAGAGGTGGAGGAAGGAAGAAGAGAGGTGAAGGAAGGAGAGGAGAGATGGAAAGCAATATGCACTTATATAAGGAAACCTCAGTGCTCGTAAACCCGCAGGGCTATTCGTGCCCATGCCACCTCTTGGGTGGCCTAATCTTTATAAATCTCGTAAACCCGTAGGGCTCTAATATACACTCAGTCCCTCCGCTCACTCACCTCTATAGTCAGTGAACCCGTAACAACCAAATTACCACGCGGCTAACAGCCTAGTTCAACACCATGAGGTATCCTCTACAACACTCCCCACCAGCAGACTCATAACCTTTAACCTTATTGCCCCAATAACCTCTCCAACGAGCCAATTGGATGACCTAACGACCCCTTGTTCGCCCCTGGGGTGACCCTGGGGAGGGTAGAGGAAAACAGGAAGGGGGGGGGGCTGACTCAAGTGGGACCCAAGAACCGAAGCTCGACCCAAGAAACTACAATTAGGGAAGATCAGGAAGAGACTTAACTTCAAATTTGGAGCTTGGTTTAATTTTTTTTTAATTTTGCCCCGAGGGGCGAGTTTATTGGGCAGCGTCACTCATCCTGTGAGTGGACACACCGCCATAGTGACAGTATTGGGCAGCGTCACTCATCCTGTGAGTGGACACACCGCCATAGTGACAGTATTGGGCAGCGCCACTCATCCTGTGAGTGGACACACCGCCATAGTGACAGTATTAGGCAGCGCCACTTATCCTGTGAGTGGACACACCGCCATAGTGACAGTATTGGGCAGCGCCACTCATCCTGTGAGTGGACACACCGCCATAGTGACAGTATTGGGCAGCGCCACTTATCCTGTGAGTGGACACACCGCCATAGTGACAGTATTGGGCAGCGTCACTCATCCTGTGAGTGGACACACCGCCATAGTGACAGTATTGGGCAGCGCCACTCATCCTGTGAGTGGACACACCGCCATAGTGACAGTATTGGGCAGCGTCACTCATCTGTGAGTGGACACACCGCCATAGTGACAGTATTGGGCAGCGCCACTCATCCTGTGAGTGGACACACCGCCATAGTGACAGTATTGGGCAGCGCCACTCATCCTGTGAGTGGACACACCGCCATAGTGACAGTATTGGGCAGCGCCACTCATCCTGTGAGTGGACACACCGCCATAGTGACAGTATTGGGCAGCGCCACTCATCCTGTGAGTGGACACACCGCCATAGTGACAGTATTGGGCAGCGCCACTCATCTTGTGAGTGGACACACCGCCATAGTGACAGTATTGGGCAGCGCCACTCATCTGTGAGTGGACACACCGCCATAGTGACAGTATTGGGCAGCGCCACTCATCCTGTGAGTGGACACACCGCCATAGTGACAGTATTGGGCAGCGCCACTCATCCTGTGAGTGGACACACCGCCATAGTGACAGTATTGGGCAGCGTCCACTCATCCTGTGAGTGGACACACCGCCATAGTGACAGTATTGGGCAGCGTCACTCATCCTGTGAGTGGACACACCGCCATAGTGACAGTATTGGGCAGCGTCACTCATCCTGTGAGTGGACACACCGCCATAGTGACAGTATTGGGCAGCGCCACTCATCCTGTGAGTGGACACACCGCCATAGTGACAGTATTGGCCAGCGCCACTCATCCTGTGAGTGGACACACCGCCATAGTGACAGTATTGGGCAGCGCCACTCATCCTGTGAGTGGACACACCGCCATAGTGACAGTATTGGGCAGCGCCACTCATCCTGTGAGTGGACACACCGCCATAGTGACAGTATTGGGCAGCGCCACTCATCCTGTGAGTGGACACACCGCCATAGTGACAGTATTGGGCAGCGCCACTCATCCTGTGAGTGGACACACCGCCATAGTGACAGTATTGGGCAGCGCCACTCATCCTGTGAGTGGACACACCGCCATAGTGACAGTATTGGGCAGCGCCACTCATCCTGTGAGTGGACACACCCGCCATAGTGACAGTATTGGGCAGCGCCACTCATCCTGTGAGTGGACACACCGCCATAGTGACAGTATTGGGCAGCGCCACTCATCCTGTGAGTGGACACACCGCCATAGTGACAGTATTGGGCAGCGCCACTCATCCTGTGAGTGGACACACCGCCATAGTGACAGTATTGGGCAGCGTCACTCATCCTGTGAGTGGACACACCGCCATAGTGACAGTATTGGGCAG